AATTAATTTAAGCCAATAAAGTTATAACTTTAATACTAGCACGTAAGATTCAAATTAGTTACACATTTATTACTTATAGTTCAAATACACGTTCGTCGTGTCTTCTCAAAAACAACTTGTGTCCAGAATTGATATAATGACAAATTATCATTATAATTATCATCGTCGAACCTCTTAATAATACTATTCGATCCAATTTTTTACTTCTAGTTACTACCTTATAATGAAGTGCACTTTAATGATTTCTCACTACATTAATAGTTACTTTTGTTCAGTTTTATTATAGCGATCTTATATCTAATATAAATAAAATAGATTACCCCGTGGCGACTATGCCGTATAAAACATTGACAAACGATTGACGTGTCCACGGGACACCTATGTGACAATAGATTGACGTATACGACGATATGATACAGGCGCACTGAGATTCAAATTTAAAGTCTCAACTACGTAAATCCACAAATAAATTACATCAAACCCCCTAATTACTTAAATTTTCTAAACAAATCAAACATCATGTCTACACAAACGCAGTTAGCTACATAATTAAGTATGTGTCACACTTTATAGGAATCAATTCGGTACATTGCTGGTGATTTTGTCGTATTTAGAATTTATCTCATGGACGGAGATCCAATTACATTTAAAACAGCTCTCCTTTAGCATGCTAGCATGCTAGCATACACATGCAAGAATTATTTGAGATAGATTAATTCGTTGGACAAATGTTTGGCCAAATATTGTAAATTAATTATAGCTATGAGTTATGGATACATTGGTGTTTATTTTGGTGTTCAATTTTTATTCGAAATGTAAGATGAGCATTAGTACTTTTAGCAAAAATAGCCTCAAGTCATGTTAACTATGCTAAAAGCCAACCTATGGCATACAATTGACTTCTAAAGTTACAGAAAGCCAGTAAATACTTCTTTGTATATAATATTATATTATGTCTGTATACAACCAGTGCTATCGCATGAATATACACCCTAAACTATAAAACACGTGTTCTCTACATTGGAAGCATTAACAATTCGTCAATTCCGTGAGTGCTAAAATTATTAAGTAATTGCCTAAGCTTACCGATTAAAACGTGTTAAATGTGAGAGGTCAAAATCGCTTAAACGAATTTACTATAACTATACAACATTCTAACTAAAAACTATTCAATACCGCCGTACAAACCGTCACAATTCGAATACGCCCAAGCGATTTTGACCTCAATAACATTAATGGTCCATCTTTTACGTTTTGATATAATGATACACCCTCGGTGCTTACACAACCTTAACCCCCTAAAACTACGTTATTGTTCGTTTTTTTTTTGTCATGGTCGTCGCTAAAAACAATTAAGCGCCAAATACTTTGGAATTAGATATCGTTGTATATTTATATATATTATGGAAGAAGAGGATAAGTAGCTGCAAATTCAGTCTTTAGGAATCACCGAGCGATAATTCCAAAGCCTAAGAAAATTTAAATGTATTTTAAATTACATAAATCAATTCCATGTCTAACATAAAACATAAAATTACTCTCTAAAATAATTTTACTATCTTTAATGGAACTATCGTATCTTAGTAATTAACTAAAATAAAAGTACTATTCTAATATTACTGTGATCTGCGATCGGTGATCTGTGATTTGTTCTGTTATAAGTACTAAATAATTTAGATAATTCGAGTATGTTTTAATACAAAAGTGTAATTTTACCGTGAATCTTCACTTTTTCCAACTGGATTGGGATATGCGAGGATATCGTTCTGAAAAGAAAAGAAACAATACAATATAAAATCAATAAATAAGCATAAGGTTTTAAAGATGGGTAATAAGAATACTCGGAACATCTTGTAGCCTGTGTGATCTACAAGTAACACATACTTATTGTCCGGATCAGTATTCTTGAAAACTTGACTTTTTACTAAGGGTTGATTTTTCGATCGTTATATAAAAGTTATTCATCAAATAAATTACTTATAACCAGATTGAATATTATTATAAATTAAAAAAATATTACATTTTATTCATACAACTGTAATTTTTTAATTGATTCTACGAACAACTTTTATCTCATAATTTTTATTTAAATACTAGTAATGCTATTAAACATTACTAATATTCCCTTTAACCACTTTTGATAAACTTAAAATACTTGTGTTAGAAGTGGTTCACTACAGTAGTCGAATGGCGGATTTGAACCCACGACCTTTCGAGTTCACGGTCCGCACCCTGCCATTAGGCTATTGACGTTTCAATTGAAAACAACCTTAAAAATAATAAAATAATTTCACACACTGAAGTCACCGACTAAGTAATATTGTACAGAATAATTAAAAGCCCTGACTTAAGAATGTGAAAATATTTGTTTCTTTTTTACTTTTTATTAAAAGTTAATTTATTTCCCTGGCTAGTTTGACTAAGGAATATCACAATCCCAATGTCGTTTAGTAGTTCCATTAAAATTTTAACCCTATTTTTATATAGGGACCACCCGTAAACAACGAACTATTAAAAAAACTGTCAGTCGTAGGACTGCACGTCAGAAGTGAAAACTTCTTAGCTTCACAATTAATGTGTAAAGATTACTTCTGTATATTTGTATCTGAGCATGACGGTGACTCGAGTTCAGTGCCTTTTCCCCATCCCATAAGTGCCCAACGTGTCAAAAGAAGTTTTCACTAAAATAATCACCAAAATCGGTAACATTCACCAAAAAAAATGTGAAAAACGGTTGACCCTGCACACCATCACTGGAACTTCCCGCTTATTTTCCCATTTTTATGGTTTTTATTTTTTGAAAATAATTGAAACGGCACATACATACATACTATGCGCGCGCGCGCACGCACGTCGTATGGTGAGTGTAGATAACCGGAGACCTTTTTTACTGGAAACGACGCATTCCATCTTAGTCCTCCAGGGTGACAACTGACAACACATCTGCATTTTGATTCTTATTACTACGTACATACTACGTATTTCAAGAGTAATTTATACATACTTTTGTTGAATATATTTGTCAAGTTGTTGTTTTTTTATTTTGTTTTCCTTGTACTTCTATTTGACATGTGTACAAATATTTAAATTTAAGTGCCTAATTTATGTGTGTGTGTGGCATGTTTTTCAATAAATGTTTCTTGCTTTCTAATCAACGATAAATGTAAATGTCTATGGGCCACAGCATTCATTTACCGTCAGGTGGACTGTGTGCTCGTTTGTCACCCTTATTCTATAAAGAAAAAGGTCTGTCAATTGATCTAATAAACTATTTCTCTGCGACAACGCTTAACCGCACCATGCACAACTGAGTGTCTCGGAATTTTATAGGAGCATCAACTTCTATTATATTTCTTACTTCTATTTATTCTTAATTTCATTGCTTTTACTGATTTCCTATTTTCTGACATTTGAATAACTTATTACAGGAGAAAGTTTCATTGGTTTCATTCAACTAGAATTTTCCGTATAACAAATAAAAATAACCAATAACCAAAAAATATATAATTGGTATAAATATTATGATTATTTTAAATTCAGATAATTAATAAATAAATAAAATTAATATTTAAATAACAATATAATTAAATAACCTTGACTTGTATTTTCTAAAGGGTCCGCCATCTAACTTTTTTTTTTCAACTAGTGCTTATTTCGTGAATGGCAACACTTAGCTCATGTCTAATTTGACAGATAATTAGTTTTATCCTTCCGCTGAACGAATATGGTTGTGTATACGCTTGAACAACGCTGGGAAATATTGCGACGTTACTTTGAAAATCATGGTAATGTTGCAGAATGTGTGCGAAAATTGCGTACGGATTTTGGAAGAAATGAAGCACCGTCAGCTCCGTATGTTCGTTACCTTGTGAAAAAAGTGAAAGAAACTGGCATCCTCATCGATAAACCAACGCGTGAAAAGCCAAAAACAGTGCGTACACCCGAGAATATTGCTGCTGTGGCCGAAAGTGTGCGTGAAACGCCATCAACATCAGTTCACCGTCGTTCTCAACAATTGGACATTTCGGAGACATCATTGAGACGAATTTTGCGTAAAGACCTTGGTATGACGCCGTACAAAATCCAATTGGTTCAGGAGTTGAAGCCAACTGACCATCCAATGCGTTTTCGCTTCGCTAAGTGGGCCTGCGATCGACTTGCAGAAGATGCGGATTTTGCCAAAAAAATCATCTTTTCAGATGAAGCTCATTTCGAACTTGGCGGGTATGTAAACAAGCAGAATTGTGGCATTTGGGGCACAGAAAACCCGCACGCATTCATCAAAAAGCCGGTACACCCAAAACGAGTCACTGTTTGGTGCGGATTTTGGTCCAGAGGCATAATTGGGCCATTTTTCTTCGAAAACGAGCAAGGTGTGGCCGTTACAGTCAATGGCGATCGTTATCGGGCCATGTTGAACGAATTTTTGTTCACAGAAATTGAAGAGGAGGATATTGGCAACATTTGGTTTCAACAAGACGGCGCAACGTGCCACGCAGCCGACGCTACACTTGATGTTTTGCGCCCTGTTTTTGAAAATCGCATTATCAGCCGCAGAGCTGATGTCGTTTGGCCACCTCGGAGCTGCGATTTGACACCGTTGGACTATTATTTGTGGGGTGCCGTCAAAGATAAGTGTTACGCCGACAAGCCAGAGACAATTGACGCTTTAAAGGACAATATTCGTGAAGCCATTGGTGAAATACAGCTGCACACAATCGATAATGTACTCAAAAATTGGACCGATCGTGTAGGCTACTGCATGGCCAGCCGAGGCAGCCATTTGAATGAAATTATTTTCCATCATTAACCGGAAGGATTGTACTTTCAAATAAAAAAATAAATTTGAAAAAATATTTAGTAGTTTTTTTTAATAGCATTTTTAAAAAAAAGGTTATTCGGCGGACCCTATATTAAACATAAAACTTACATTTTGATTTTCGAATGCCAACTTCATGAAATTAAACTTCGAGACCAATTTTTTATCACAGAAAATGCATTCACTGCGTAAGAGAGTATTGCTCAAGAGGATAAAAATCTTTGCTGGCCATGTGCGTAGCGTTGTGCGCCATTTTGTATCCCCAAAGACCCATCGCTTCTTTGCATGTCATCTGTAATTAAATGACATTAAATATTAATGGAAGTATTACTAAGAAATACAAGCTATAATTTAAGTATGCAGTTTTATTTCAGGAAAAAATCAAGGCATCGTAAAATCCGGGCAATATTACATCATCAAGAAGATATTAGATATTATGTCTGTTTCGGCAATCTTGTTCTACCTGAAATGGAATACTTGTGGCTTATACTTATTATAATTAAAGTAATAAGCAAGGTTGTTCGTTTTCATTTTATAATTATAAAAATCTAGTGATAAAAAAACTTAAGAGTTTTGCGTTTAAAAATATAAAAAAGCTACCTCACAAAAAGAGCTCAACACAAAAATAACTGCTAAAATAGAATTGATGCAACTGAGGTGGGTATTTTTTTTAAATAGCAGAAGGCAACACTGCTATGTCGAAAAATAAAGGTCTTTGTATCATAAGAGGTATTGGTATAAAGTAAAATCCGGAACGATACTTGACTTAGGTACTTCACGTAGCTTTGAATGGGTATATTTTTAGCTACGCGATTTTCCTACAAGCGTAACAAAGCGATAATGTATTAGGTCGGCCACATACATACGGAATTCCGTTTCGGGATTTCGTTTCGATATTTCGATTCGGGATTCCGTGAATGCATAACACATACGTTTATATCCGTTCGGAATAGCAAGGGTCAGTTGAGAGACGGAGAGACGTTAGCCATTGAGTCTAGACGTTCTGCCAGCGAAAAATGACGACGATTTTCTAATTGCGATTCCATTGTTGCTGTATTATTCTTACTGGGTGCATCCCCTTATCACCCTAAGCTTGCAATATAGTCAATATTATGTAAAAAGATCTATCCAGAGATATTTTTTAAATATGGATGTCGGTAAATTCTTTCCACAAATTATTAAATAAATTAAGATGAAAGGTTACGAAAAGCTATACACCTATAAGATTAAATGTAAAAACATACATAAACACACCTACTCGCTTCGGTCGTGCGACGAACACCGAACACTGAGCGCGTTCCGTACGGAATTTACGTATGTATGTTGCGACTCGTACAAACAACACCACTACAACTCGTACTATGAAAGACTTGTGTTCAGAGCGGCTTTCTAAGCTGCTAAGTTCTGAATTTAAGGCCCGCCACATATATACGGAATTCCGTTTCAGCCCTTCACAATGCCACTGCTGAACATAGGCCTCTCCCAAGGAATGCAATAAAGCACGGTCCCGAGCCATCTACATTCATTGACTTCCTACATGTCTTACAAGGTCTTCACTCCATCTAGTGGGGGGATGGAGGTGCTTAGTGGCGTTCCTTGGGGCGAGGCTTATGTTCAGCAGTGGACCTGTGAAGGGCTGTAATGATGATGATGATGATGAAACTTTGAAAAAAATGTCTTGAATTTGTATACATATAAAATGCGAAGAAACTTTTTTTCCGACCTTATAAATACATATTATTTTCAAAAACTGCGAGATGTCTGTATCATGAAACCAAGGTAACGGACAGAAATTAGGAAGGAAATGGACATAGAGGTCAGCTATTCTCATTGCCAATCTCGCACACTCACTAGCCACTGGTAAGGCTAAGTGTCTTGGCCACGACGAGGGCAATGCTGCCCGAGGCAAACGCCGACACATCTACCAACAGCAGTCTTCAATGAAACCGCATTAATTTCCAAATTACTAACCTACCTTACTATTTATAATCATTTATTTCTATGCGTGAGTTAAATAAAAACACAACAAACATTATTGAGTATTAAAAGTTAACCATTACGCTGCATCATAGTCTAAAGTGTTTTGGGTCCGGTCACTGCACTGCTGAGTTGCATATATTATATTTTCATAACCAGTTTAGAATCAATAACTAATAATATTGTTAATTTTCATATTTATTGCTATTTAAATTAATACCTGTATATCTTCTACGTAATCAAAGTCCAGAACGTTCTTCCATCTGAAAGGCACATCTCGGGAGACCCTAAAGGTTGAGCTAACGCCGGCAACTTCCACATTGGTGTGAGAGTGCAGGAACTCTTCGACAGACTGCGTCACACCTAGCCCTAGGAACTTGAAAAGGCGATGCGTCGTGCTGTTGGGATTTAATGCTAGATCTTCATATCGTAATACTCTGAAAAGAAAAAAAACATGTGTGCAGTTCACACGCGGTAGATGTGAAACATTCAGAAAACTATTATGAATGGATTGGATATGATTATTTTATTCAATATGGCTAATGTTATTTATTTCATAAATTTTAATTGTTTCAAAGAGAAGACCGATAACAGCAAATACTGTATACTGTATTCTATCTCATTCTATCGCAGGCTAATTCCTATACATGTATATGTTTGTCTCTTTTTAGTGTCGCTTTTCGTTTCATCGTGTTTGATGAAACGATGCTAAAGTTTCACTTCAATAAATGCATTTAAGAACATATTAAGGGCAGATAGACAAAATATTTCTTACTAGCTGTGCCCCGCGGTTTCACCCGCGTCATCACGTGTCCGAGGTGCGGAACATGACCCAGTTCAAGCATTTTATAACGGCTAGGGTTTAAGCGTCGTTCGCGCGCCCATCCAAGTATTGAATTATTTTAATTTTACATTATCTCTTAAACTATGCGTCCAAATAACATGGTATAAAGAACAAAGTTTATCTTCATAAAATTGTCTTGATGATGAAGTAACTTTCGTTCGTAAGGATAAATAGGCCATGCCTAATAATAACGCTCATAAATCACTTTTAAATTTTCAATATTTTTTTGTCACAAAATACCAAATTATGGTTTATGTATAAGAAATAGACATACGGTATCGCGGACTTCTTTTTAGACGGAGTAAAGGTCTATATTTTTCTAGAACATTGTATTTACGTATCCCTAACGATAACACGTATCGTACAAATAATTTCGGCTTTAGCAGTCAGTGTTCTATGTGTGTGTACTTCTTTTTATTCCAGAGTTTGTACCGCATTCCCACTTTTTTTCGCGATCAACACCGCTCACGCGCCACCAGATTACTATTTTAATTCATAGTAGGTTTAAAATTGAGTGAGAGCTATTTTTTAGATTTTTCCCAGAATCATAAATTTTTCAAAAACGTCTAATAATCTCATTACAGACTCATTTTAAGCTATATCGAAGTTGAAATTTCAAAATCTAAATTTTAAAATACCATTATATGTCTACAATTATCATCATCATCATCATCGTCGTCGTCATGATTACCACCAACCATCTTCCACCCATTGAACCGACCGAATGGGTCGGCTCGATCGGGGAAAGACCACGCTCTTACAGAAAACCAGCGTAAAATAGCAGCTTAACGCTGCTGTGTTTCGTATGGTGAGTGTAGAGAACCGGAGACCCTTTTTACTGGCAAAGAGGCATTCCATCTTAGTCCTCACGGGTAACAACGCATCTGCATCTTGAGTCTTTATTGAGGATAGATGTAGATGTCTATGGGTCACAGTAACCACTTACCATCAGGTGGACTGTGTGCTCGTTTGTCACCCGATCCTATAAAAAAAAATGAAGCATCGCTAAAAATGTTCACGAAAAAGCTACAGCGACAAAAATATCGCGCAGTTTTATTCTTACAACATTGTGCTTGTTCAACAAAAAAAAAAGTACTTAAAACTTTACAAAAGAAAACCTGCCAGGGGTGTACGGCGCGCAAGCTATTGTGGAAATATTTGAAGTACCTATTTGCAATATTCACAAGTTGACGACTTAACCTAGTTAGCCAGTGGGAAGCCAAGTAACAGAATTCACTCAGATATTTTCTGATTTACGTACGTTTATTCGGATTATATTTAAGACATTTGAAAACTACAAATATGGAACAAAAAACAGATACTTTAATATCATCATCATCATTTCAGTCCTTCACAAGTCCACGGTCTTGGCCACCTACATCGATCGACTTCCTACATATCTTAGCAGGTCGTCCCGCCTTAGATATTTGTGAGTAATTTAAATATAAATATAACAACAAATTCAAATAAATACTATTTGTACTGACTCCATTACTGCATATAGTGATATCAATTAAATACTTCTTATTAATTTTTTTATGTAATTTTCAATTTTTCATTATGAGCCGTGGTAGCTGAGGTGATGCTTAACAATTGAAATCGAATTGTCAAAGGTAATTTATAACATAATATGGTAAAGTCACGCTGTATGCTAGCACGAATCGGTGGACTCGACCGGACAAGAACCTTGCTCGAGGAGGACCTACGCTGTGCACCTTAGTCCTCATAGATGTAGGTATCTATGGGCCACGGCACAGGCGTGTCACTTTGTAAAAATCTGAGGTATGGAAAATGGTGGCGCGATTTTCAAATTTGTTCGCATTACTCGTGGGGTATTAAGGTTTAAGAGTTTGCAGTGTATATACTCAACTTATTTATTGAACTATAAGATGTGGGGTATTGAGGTTTAAGGGCTTGCGATTTATTTATATGGGGTTTGTAGTAATATGCGATTTATTTCCTAATTTCAGCTATGGAATTCCATACCTTGAAAAACTTGAGGTATGGAGTGCTCCATACCTTCCATAGTGGAAGTGACACCCCTGCCACGGCATCCACTTATCAACAGGTGGACTGTATATCGTATGCCACTCTGACTACTATAAAAGAAATTGTTTTCAGTATTTTATAATATTAAATATTTTACAACACAAACATATTTTATAACGCTGGAACAATAACAGAAATAAAAAGCTTTCACGCTATGATTTTTCATGTTCATTGTAGTTCAATCGAGGGGAGAAAAAAACGGAACACTTGACTGGCGTTCGTTGATGTATTGCGAACAACTGTATTCATGAATTTAAATGCACACGGACCGCTGCGCGAGGAAAATTTAACATTAAGTTAGTGGGTAAGTTAATTACACGTTAAGAACCGGTTACGATAGTCTATGTGATTATTAATAACAAAATATTCAAAACGCGAAACAACTACCTCTACCATTAAAATGAGCATTTTTACAGATTGAACAATTATTTAGTCTACTGCCGCACATAGGTTTTTTTATAAGAATAAGGGTGACAAACAAACACACAGTCGATCTGATCGTAAGTGGATGGATACTATAGCCCACAGATATCTACATTTATCCTCAATTACTAGGGAGGACTAACATGGAATGCCTTATTTCCAGTGCAAAAGGGTCTCCGGTTCTCTACACTCACCATACGAAACACAGCAGCTGCTATTTTGCGGTGGTATTCTGTGAGAGCATGGTTCTACCACGGTCCAGCAGACCCGTTCGTGCTACAACCATAATATAGATGCAGCGTGGCTCTACAAAGTACCCATTAGTTACTTCTTAGTTATTTCTTTGATGGTATTTCCCACAATAGTCACGTTAGACAGGCGGGTTGGTAACCACAGTTTTTAATTATTTTCATATGTTATCAAAAAGATGATTTGACCATATCTTTTTACATTTCCCTCTGTCGCCTCTTACGATACCTACGGAACGATATGGGGTAGTAGTGGATTTTCTTAAATCGTCTATGTGGTTGGAGTGAAAGAGAAATTATATACTCATTCTATGAGTATCGGTTACGGTGTAATGTGGTAAGTAGATAATAAAGTGTAGGTTAGGTTAGGTTTTAATTTACTAGGAGGTAGGCCTTCTCTTCCGTTCAGTGGTACGTCTGGATACATACGACAATCTTACCTATTTCTGAGCCAAATACTATATACTTTCACTGCTATTTTACAATTTTTACTGACGGATATAATAGATAACCAAGTATAATTACAGTGAGACATACCATCTTAGTCCTCAGAGGTGATAACGTATCGTTAGCCTTCTTTGTTAGAAGTTGGTGGGCTATGTTTTAGTTTAATTGTCACTTCAGTTTTATGAAAAAAATAAAAGGAAAAATAAAAATAAAAATTGTCGCCTGTGAATAACGGATCACAATTGATAAAACTCACAGAACGAAATTTTAAAAATATATAATCTAAAGATATACAAATAAAATTGAAGTGCCTGTCTTGTCTGTGCCTGTCCGTTTTGAAATAACTGGCTTGTAATATCTTAGGGGGTTATGTGCATGTTATTATGAGATAAACAACAGTCTTAAAAATATCTGTCTGTCTGTCCGGGGTAAACTTCGGATGTGCTGAATCGACAGTGATGAAACTTTACGAACAGATAGAGAGCTTAATTTATTTTATGAAAATACGTAAAATTAATAAAGTTAGGTGCGGTATACAACGTGTCCCAAAATTCAACGATAAGCCAACACCGGAGGATAGACCTGCCCCGGACTAATCGGGTAAAAAAAGAAAAAAAAATATATCCCAATTATATTTTAAGTTATATAAAAAAATGAAATTCTTCAGAAATTGAGACAGAGATCTATTGGGGTTGTCTTAAAAACAGGGTCTACTCAAAACCCATTGTGACATTGGACGAGCTTCGTCGAAATATCACTCAGGCTGCTGATTACATTAATAGCAGAAGATATGCAAGACAAATAAAACGATCATTTTTAAGGCGATGTCGTGCATGTATTAATGCTGGTGGCAAACAGTTCGAACATTTGCTATAATGTTAATAACTTAATAAATTACACGTGAAACTGTTTGTACCATTTGTTTTGAAATATTAAACATTTTTCAAGAAATAATACTTTTATTACACCCGACCGTCATTTGGCCCCTGTTAAGAAATAATAGGCCCATATTTTTTTATAACTTGTTTTCCTAGAGTATTATACCATTTTGGAATATTGGTTAGTTGCGTCAATTTTTAAAAAAACTTGCCATACTAGTGTTCATATTTTTTTTTACACCACGATAAGTTAAATTTGGTTAAAAGTAAAAGTCTTCAAAAAATTTAGGGAATAAAATAAGTTTCATTAATTTTCGTGATAAAACAAGAGTTATTCTGGAGTTTTTAAGAATTGTGGTAGATAGCAGTACTATTCAGGTTGCCTATAAAAAAAAAAGAAAAAAATATTTAAAAAATTGTGGTCATGGTAGTGAAAAATATCATAAACGGTCTCAATTTCTGAAGAATTTCATTTTTTTTTATATAACTTAAAATATAATTGGGATATATTTTTTTTTTCTTTTTTTACCCGATTAGTCCGGGGCAGG